GGTTTCCTGTTAATCCCATAGTCAGAATGGATTTGTATATTTGAGTGGGCAGCAATAAGAAAGAAGGGATTGAAGTGCTTAATTTGCATCCTGTTTAGAGCGAACCAGGAATGAACTGAACCAATCTTTTTAGTGCCTATATTGCCTCCACTTGGAAGGAAAAAGAAAAGCATAGAAAGGACTCTTATCTCCCCCATCTGTTTGGAGGGGAAATGGGAGCTAAGGTCCTGCTGTCATAAGCACCACAATTTGCTTGTGAGAAGCCAATCATTGATTTCATAAGTACAGTCACCTACAGACCCACAGCCAAGACCCTTCACATGGTATTCATACTTGGATACAAGGGATCAGTAATCATGATGACTTAAGTACAGATATTATAACATGAGGTAACACTCCAGTCCCATAAAGGTCATCTTAGCCAGTTTATCACATCTCCCAGCCAGCATCACACTATATGCTAACCCCTCCACCATTCATATGGTTGTCTTATTCCCTTAGCTTTAGGCAACATGATTCCTCCAGCCTTTGTCACCCAGTGACCATTGTTAATGTTAACAGGATGCAAATTAAGCACTTGTCATCATCATACAAGTTTTGCTTTTCTGTTCACACACACCCTAACTGCCTATAAAGGTCTGCTCCTAGGTACTTTACTCCCTGAATCTGAGAAATTAGACTTACAAAAGGTTTATACTTCTAACTTTGTTTTCTCAATCTCTAATGTGCTACACAGTCCCTTTGCTTATATAAGTATAAACAATTGGAAATTCAAGGGAACCATTGGCATGGAAAGGCAGGATGTTTAAGATACTATATATTCTTGTCTCAATCATTTTTCTTTGTATTATCCTTGTTAGATTGTGATTTTGTGGGTAGAAATGGTTTCTTTAAAAAATAAATTGGACAGTTTCTAAGAAAATTTATTTACAACGAGGTGGCATCAAAACTGCCAAATTGCAACGTATAAAATCTTTAATCAAAACTTTAATTGACATTATCATTTTTTGTTTCACTGCAAACATTAGCCAGTGTTAGGTTGCTTATTATCTTCACCTCTTTTCAACAATAGTGCATTCATGTAATCTTTATTATAAGTGCTACAATGTGTACTTTTTGCATTGTGTTTCCCACTCACATTGCCATATACAATTCTTCCACTCTATATCTGTGAATGCCTATCTGGACAGATTTTCTGGTCTTCAATGTGCAAAATAAATTCCTCCTGGTTTTAGATACTTTATGAGTTGGTGCTCCTACGACAACCACTATTATTTCAACTATGACCCCTACTATCACATGTGGGTACTATTTTACTATTATAATTGAGCTCCTAAATTGGCATAGTGGGTGTATGCTTTTTTGGAGGGGAAAGATGACCAAATAGGACAAAGGATTTCTGGTGCCCCCCCCCTCCGGGGGTTGAGAAGGGCAGGGTAAAAATGCTGTAAATAAATAAAATAAGTAATAAACAACATTTCACTCTGCACCATATTTGTAATCCTATTAGAAGATGGATTGTTGTAGGTTTTTCAGGCTGTATGGCCATGTTCTAGAAGCATTCTCTCCTGACGTTTTGCCTGCATCTGTGGCAGGCATCCCCAGAGGTTGTGAGGTCTATTAGAAAACATTTGTATGATGACATTGCAGAATTGTAGAGCATATCATATTAGCTGATAAGATAAATTTCACTGAAATATTTGAAAAAACTAAACCTATGTCAGAAAGCTCTCAAAATTTAAAAAATGCTACCTAGTTATTCATATAGTTGACTTGTTCTATTGTCTAAAAGTGAACAATATTTATTTGGAAATGGTTTAGTACCATAAAGTCAAGAACTTTAGTAGGACATATGCACTATTTCAGGTGTGACATATTGATGTAGAAAATGCACATCAAAAAGAAGTCTTGATGTCCACACTGGTATACTTATTTTGTTTTCATAATATTTGGAACAAGCTTCTATGACGTGTTCCAAACAACAGTGGTCCATTAAAAGAATTTCAGAAAAATATATCTCTATTTTATGTTTTCCCTCCTCTCATACATCAGTGCCAAAACAGGTGGCAGTGGCAGCAGGGGAATGACAGCAGACAGACAACAGATGGGCAGGCCAAAGAAGTGTATTGCTTGTTGCTTCACTTGACAAGAATTACATTTTGTATATCCCTTGAAATAATGCTGTAAAGAATGTTAGGGAAGCTTGGTCTCTCACTGAGAGGATGTTTTATAAGTTCTCAGAAATACCTCCACAAGGTTTAATAGGTTAATTTCTTGCTGGTGAAGGTTTTCAGCAATCCATATGGCTCTTGAGAAGTCTGATATAGCAGCAGGATAGTACACAGTGCACAATTGTCGCTGGTACAAGAAAGTGTAGCTAATCAAACCACTGACCTAGCCATGGTTTTCTTATTGAGATACCCAGACTGGACACACTAGCTTGTCTCTTCTCTGAAAATATGTTTTTATAGTAACATTTTTTTTTGGAGGAAGATGGCAATTTTTTTTTTGGGTGGTGGTGGTGGTGGGGGGGAGGCCTTGCAAGGATAGTGTCAGATGTACCGTATATACTCGAGTATAAGCTGACCCGAATATAAGCCAAGGCACCAAATTTTATCACAAAAAACTGGGAAAACGTATTGACTCGAATACAAGCCCAGGGTGGAAAATGCATCCACTATGGGTCAATTTCAAAATAAAAATAGATACCAATAAAATTACATTAATTGAGGCATCAATAGGCTAAATGTTTCTGAATATTTACATAAAACTGTAATCTAAGATAAGACTGCCCAACTCCTATTAAACTATTATTCTAACCTCCTTCAATGTAAATGTACTTATTATTAAAATAAGAAATATAATAAAAATAATAGGGTAAAATAATGAAAATGCAATAAAAACAGTAATAATAGAGTAAAATAATAAATGTAGTAATCATAGGGTAAAATACTGTAAAAGTAATAATAATAATAATAATAATAATAATAATAATATTAAAATAATAAATGTAATAATAATAATTGGGTAAAATACTGTAAATGTAACAACAACAACAATAATAAATAGATTAAAATAATTAATAATAATAATAATAGGGTAAATACTGTAAATGTAATAATAATAGAGCAAAATAATAAATAGAATAATAATAGAGCAAAATAATGTAAATATAATAATAATAGAGTAAAATAATAAATGTAATAAAATAATACTAATAACAGAGTGAAAGAATAAATAACCTTGACTCAAGTATAAGCCGACAGGAGCTTTTTCAGCCTAAAAAAGAATAAATAATCTTGACTTGAGTATAAGCCGAGGGGAGCTTTTTCAGCCTAAAAAAGGTGCTGAAAAACTAGGCTTATATTTGAGTATATACAGTACTTCCAAATGTGGGTCCTTTATAGCTGCTCTTCCTTACAAATAATTATGATAATGTTATGATAATGTTCAACATTGTTTAAAGTACAGTAAACCCCTTGTATCCCTGGAGGATATATTCTTGGACATCATATGCATATGAAAACTATAGAAAATAGCAAATCCTATGGAAGTGAAGAACTTTTGGCCCAAGAATTTCACATAGTTGTGCTGAAGGGCCTAGAAAATGTCTAGAAATTACATATTTTGTTGGGTATTAATATATGCAGCTGTAGATACTTGTCACATGGATGTGGGAGGTATCATACTGTATGTTGATATAATATGAAGTTTGGGGCTCAAGTGTAAACATACGCAGTTTTTTTAAAAAAACAACAACCTGGGGATTTGGAAAAACTGGCAGTGGGTTCGGAGACCACAAGGGAAGCATTGTGTCTTGGGGCTGCATTCCTCATATATGTCACCTATACAAGTGAATTACAGGCTACGATAGCCTGAGGACTGAGAGACAATACAAGATGGGATTTAAAAACTTGGTGGGCTTATCTATCGGAATATATAAGCAATGATTTCATCAATCAAAGGAAAAACAAGTATATAAATAGTCATACAGAACAAGACTGGTACAGGAAATGGTCTGTTCTAATTGACAAGATAGATGGAGATGACAGATATATAGCATTTTGAACCAGGCTTTCCACATGGTTAAACTGATGTAATGACATCATTTAGAATTGCTGTTCCATGGGGGTGTGTGTGTGATGGGTGATACATATCTAAGGAATGTATAAAGTGTCATTTAAGGAATATTTACTTTTGGAATAATGTATACTGAAATAAGTCTTGTACGCCAAAAGTTTGTTAATTCTTGAGATGTATCAAATAAAATTTGTAATCCAAAAAACCCCAAAAACAAAACCTATACAAGTAATGACAATTGCCCTAGTCCTCAGATACCCTGTGCATTAAATCAAGTATGTCCTCCAAATGTTGACAATTCTTATCATCCTTTATCATTGGCTATTGCTGGATAGGGCTCATGGGTCTTATAACCTAATTGTATCCATACATTCACAGGTTGCCCAACTCTGCACAAAATCAGCTTTTCCTATTCTGTTACTTGATACACGAGACATTCAATAATATGGCGAAAACTCTTTTTAAAATGTTAGTGGCATCAATGTCCTCAGCATCTTTAGAAGCAATCACCCTTCTCATGAGACGAGTTTTTGTAATTAGCAAGAGAGCCATGTTTGGATATGGGGGTCATCAGGAATTACCCAGCAAGTCAACCCACAGGGCTGTGGTGCTCTCGGTTTGTGATTGAATAAGCTACCTACTTTAGATCGGCTTTTTGTTTTAATTGCTGGCCATTTTGCAAAAAGAAAGCATGCGGGAAAATAGCTAATGCTTGTATTAAATGTGTTTTAAAATGTGGGAATCTGGCCTTAATGGTCTGGTTCATTTGCAAGGGCAAAATATGTTGCTGATTCATATACATTGTGTTAACCCATTTGATTAACTCTCTTGACCCTGAATACAGAAAGTAACAAAGGTCTGTTTCATTATACGGTAGGTCCGAATTGACTATTCGTATTTCTTTTTCTTTTGAATTATAGGATTTCCAGCTGGAGAACTTCAGAAACCATTCTTTTGGGGAACAGAATATCCTAGGTAAAAAAATAAATCTTACAAATGAAATGCAATATGGATATGAAAAGTGACACGTCCAATGGGACTTGTCATTGGGTCCAAAATGGCCTAGACACATGGTGAAAATCCCTAGTACATGTTTGTGGGTATTCTAAAGTAAAATCTAGATGCTTAGGGGAGAAGAAAGGCTATGGATATAGCACCAGGCTTCACTATCCTCATCTCAGGTGGCGCAGTGGGTTAAAGCCCTGTGCCAGCAGGACTGAAGACCGACAGGTCGCAGGTTCGAATCCGGGGAGAGGCGGATGAGCTCCCTCTATCAGCTCCAGCTCCTCATGCGGGGACATGAGAGAAGCCTCCCACAATAATGATAAAACATCAAAAATAATCCAGGCATTCCCTGGGCAACGTCCTTGCAGACGGCCAATTCTCTCACAACAGGATGCTCCTGACACGACAAAAAAAAAATATCTCAGGTTTAGGGTATTCGAAGTTTCCATGAGTTTTGTTTTAATGCATTTTAAAAAATCTTTGTGTTTTTTCAGTTAAAAGTCAGTATTCAATGAACTGACTGCTGAAACTCCTATTTCCAAGGGAAAAAGTTCAAGATAGCAATATATTGTGTAGCAGTGAATATTGTTAATTGTATACATTTCCATTAACTACATAAAAGCATGTTTTCCTGCAAACATTTCCCCCCTCAATACACAGAAAATATCAAGAAGCAATATCTTGCACAACAAGACACATTTAAGGGCATTGTACAGAAAATGAACTGTGTCCTGCTTCAAAATATTGTTCCTGCTTCCAAGCTCATTTTCTATGCAGAAAAGCAGTATATATTTGCACAAAGGTATTTTCGTGCTGAGATCTTGAAGTGCTTAAAAATAGTGCAGAAGTCTTCTCACAGATAAGGGAGAGCAACCACTGAAATAACGTCTTCTTGGATGCAGGATTAAAATAAACAAATATTTAAATCTTTGTCCTGTTTGCTTTGATTACAAAGGGAAGAGCAAAAGATTGTATGGATATCTGCAAGGTTCTTTCATCTCATAGTTCTTGAAACCTGATGGTTTGAAACAGTAATTCAGATATTCCAGTTTTCTCATTAATCTCTTCTTCTATAATTCAGTTATCTTCCTGTCCTTCAGGCCACTTTTTTTTTTTACATATCCTGCAATTGTGTTTCTGTTCTTACTCATTGCATGTTTTATGCCCCCCCCCCCTTCACTAGTCTGCTGGCATTTCTTTCTCTTGCAACCTTATCAGACGGGGAAGAATCAGCAGTATGCTCCACCTTAAGCAGGAAACCCACCAACTCCCATTACATGATGCAATAATACTTCCATCGAGGCTCCGTGCTTAAAAGGTAGCAAAGTGGAGCATGCCGCTGTAGCGGCAACACGGGATGCTTCCCATGTTGCCTTGGATCAATGAGGGGAAGTTGGGCGGTTGACCCTTCCCCCATGGGAATTGCCCTGCCAGTAAGTCGGGCAACGTGTGGTGTGGGCCAGTAGGTTCAAACACATGGAGTAGAGAGAGGACTGCATGCAAAAGTGGAAAAAGCAGAGGAAAATGAGATTTCAGCTGGGAAATGGGAGGAGAAAGAGAGAGAGAACAAATATATACATTAACAGACATTCATGAGCTGGAGGGGGGATTCTCTCAGCCTAGCCTAAAGCTAACTAATTGCTCCTTATTGAGGACTGCAGACTTGAGAAGTGTGAGGTTGATTTCTAACAAAAAGATTAGAGAGCTGGACCAAAACTAGCAAAACGAATTTTCTTAGGCAGAAAAAATGAAATGGAAAGATAAAGAATGGGTGATGCCTGGCTCAACAGCAGTCCATGTGAAAAAGATCTTGGAGTCCTTATGGACAACAAGTTGAACATGAGCCAATAGTGTGATGCAGCAGATCTAAAAGTCAATGGGTTTTTTGGGCTGGATCAAAAGCAGTGTAATGTCTCAATTGAGGAAAGTGGTGCCTTTCTACTCTGCTTTGGTTAGACCTCACCTGGAATACTGTGTCCAATTCTCGACAGCACAGTTCAAAAGAGATAGTGACAGGATGGAAGGTGTCCAAAGGAGAGCTACTAAAATGATCAAAGGTCTGGAGACCATGCCCTATGAGGATATTTAGCCTACAGAAGAGAAGGTTGAGAGGAAACCTGATAGCCATGTATGTTTAGGGGTGTCATAAGGGAGCAAACTTGTTTTCTGCTATCCCTGAAACTAGGACTAGGAGCAATGGGTGCAAATTACAGGAAAGGAGATTCCATCTGAACATTAAGAAGAATTTCCTGACCATACGAGTGTTCAACAGTGGAACTCTCTGCCTTGGAGTGTGGTGTAAGCTCCTTCCTTGGAAACTTTTAAACAGAGGCTGGATGGCCATCTGTCAGGGGTGGTTTCATTGTGCTTTTCCTTCATGGCAGAGGGCTGGACTAGATGACCCATGTGGTCTCTTCCAGTTCTATTGTTCTATGATTCTATAATTCTATGAAAGGGGAACTAGAAGTAAGGAGAGGCTGCAGCAGGCTGCTTTTGCCTAAACCTACTGGGAAGAGTAAGATTTTATTCTCTTTTCTTCTCCCCTTCTCACTGAGTTGAGTGGAGTTTGACCATTGGAGGGCATGAGACAATTTCATGCCTCCTGTTTCTTGTGCATCTGAAATGTTTGTGAATATTTCACTCATTTCCAAAAGCTTCACTTCCAGAAACACAATCATCAGGCTATTTACACAATCAAATGAGGATGATTCATGCAATTCTTCTAAAATGGCTCAGTGATAGAGGACGGAATATTAACTTTATTTTATATTCTAGACACATTGCTTTATATTATCAGAAAGTTGAACGAGCTTACTTTTAAGATTGTATTTTATATCTGATGCTAGACCGTTCTACAATACAATCTAAAATAATAAACTTGTCACAGAATGGGAATGCCTCCGTTGTTGAAATGTATAATTTTAACCTCAGGGCTGTAATGGGATTTTTGCAGTGACAGGGGAGAAAAAATCAGCAGGAAGCATTTTATGACATGCAAACTGTCTTTTGTAGAAGATATAACAAAATAAAAGGCTAGGGTAGAAATTAAATCCTGCCAGTTTTAGGCATGACTCAGAAAGCAATTAGCATGTTATGGATCATTAAATTGTATGAAAGATACAATTGAATGTCAGAGTGCACTTGGACCTTCATCAAGTCTGAAGCCATTTTTACAGAAGGGCTGCAGTTGATAGGAGCCATTGCATGATGCAGTTTTTTAAGCATAAGGGGGACATAATTGGGACATTGCCCCCCAATAAGAAATGTGCCCCACTAATGAAATATTTCCTAAATCCCCAAATGTCTAGCATTGTGAAGAGTAAGATAACATCTTCTATATGCTATGTTTGCAATTTATAAGTATCTTTAAATTCCCCCCTTCTTTGGATGATTAAATGTTCATTCGAAGTTTTAAAATACCACGCTGCTATAGATTTGGGGACTGAAGGAAAATTTCATGAAAATTTGCCCCTTCCCTACAGCTACATCCTGGGTCTCCTTCAAGGTTGTTTTTTTCCCCAGGAAATTTGGAAAAGAAATAGATAAAATAATAGCAAAACATTTTATTTGCCTCCTGGGAAACAATGCAAAACAAACAAACAAACCACAGAATCATAAGAATCTGGCCATTGTACATATATATGGAATTGGTGTGAAGGAATTCAAATTATATGACAATACACAGAAGGTATACACAGTGCATATTCAACAAGAGACACTGTAGAAGAAGTCCTAAAAGCCTTACAGATTCATTTGAATGTTGCTTTTTTTAAAAAGTGTTTTGCTTCCATAATATCTATGATGTACATATCCTAGGAGATACACATAATCATTATGTTCAAACAAATGGGAGTGTGAAGTTATCCTAAGTCAAGCTCTAGGCAGGACTTTCAAGAAGAGCTTGGTGAAATCTTCACAGATTGCATCTTGTGATTGACAGGGCCAAGTATAAAATATAAGCGCTCAAGTTGATATTAAGTGATGATGAGAAGGTTCAAGTCATAACTCAAATACCCCTCCAGCAAGTTGGGAACTGGACAGTATTTTTCCTGATACATCTTCAATGAATCTGTCTTGGCAGAACCCATAACAGTTCCCACGAGAGAGTTCAGCCTGCCAATTTGGTCCAAGTTCAGCAACATTTCACAGAGCCCAATTACATCGGGGGTAGTTTAGCAAGGTATAAATATGCTCTGTGGCAGCCCTGTATCCAGCATGTTTATGATGAATCTGTGACCATTGTCTAAATGACCCCGAAGTGCATCAGATCTGTTGGAGCGGCTCTCATCACTTCCTCCATGTTGCCACCACCATTTCTAGCTGTCAAGTAGCTCTAGCCAAGTTCTGCACTGTCAGGAGAGCCTCTGCTGCTAACAAGAACAACAACAACAACTTTCTTATCTGCCTCTCCTCATTGCTCAACGCGGTTTACAACATTGCCAAAACACATAAAATTTTAAAACACTCAGTAGAATACAAATATTAAAACATATTTCCATAAAATACATATTAAAATAGAATCATAGAGTTGGAATTGCATTCAAAGCACCCCCGACACATGCCATCCAGCCTCTGTTTAAAAGCCTCCAAAGAAGGCACCTTCACCACACCCGGGGGCAGAGGGTTTCACTGCTGAACAGCTGTCATAGATAGGAAGTTCTTCCTAATGTTCAGGTGGATCTCCTTTCTGTCGTTTGAAGCCATTGCTCTACATCCTAGTCTTCAGGGCAGCAGAAAACAAGTTTGCTCCCTCTTCCCTATGACTTCCCCTCACATATTTATACATAGCTATCATGTCTTCTCTCAGCCTTCTCTTCTGCAGGCTAAACATGCTGAGCTCTTTAAGCTGCTCCTCATAGGGCATGTTCTCCAGACCCTTGATCATTTTAGTCACCCTCCTCTGGCCATATTCCAGCTTGTCAACATCTCCCTTCAATTACGGTGACCAAAATTGGACACAGCATTCCAGGTGTGGTCTGACCAAGGCAGAATAGAGGGGTAGCATGACTTCCTTGGATCTAGACACTAGACCCCTATTGATGCAGGCCAAAAATCAATTTGCTTTTTTAGCTGCCGATTCACATTGTTGGCAAATGTTCAACTTGTTATCCACAAGGACTCCAATATCTTTTTCACACATACTGCTGTCAAGCGAGGCATCCCCCATTATGTATATTTACAGAATACATAAAACAGAAATTAGAATGGAAGTTTAAAATTTGTCATTAAAACACTCTGGGTAGGTCTGATGTCAGAGCAAGGCACCTGCATGACCAGCCAGAAGTGTGTGTGTATGCTGAGTTTGTGTGTGCATGCATGCATATGTGTGATAATGACTAACTTTTCACCTCCTGCTCTGTGTGGATCCCATGCATTTTTAATAATGTTTTCTTAGTCAAGGAATTCAGAGGTGGTTTCCCAGTTCCTTCCTCAGAAATATAGCCTACAGCACTTGGTATTCACTGGTGAGCTCCCATCTAACATGATAAAAGGAGGTTTTGAAGGCATCCTGTTTACAGCTTATCTCTGGCCTTAGGACAGAAAAGTTACAACCCATCTCATACAATGCAGTTCTTCAATACCCAGAGAAGGGGAAAAGCAAATACTTCATCTCAGTTTTTTCACTTCTGGCACTTTCCTGGCTCATCCCATGGTGGAGATAGAAGCTTGATTCTTCACATCCAAACCAATGCATATTCCTTTTAACTGACTTTGCACCTCTTCCTTCTTCCTCTACTCTTTGTCCCTTGTGTGCATTTAAATAGTCAGTCTGAAGGCAGGTATTTTATCTTTTTTAGTTTTTTATTAACACTGCCTGGTTCTTGACAGAGCCCCTAGAAATAGGTAATGACAAATTTAAACAAAACTACGCATTTGATATAACCAATGTATGCTTATTGATTAGTCATATGTCCCAATATGGTATCTTTGATTATAACAATGTGTTGATTGATTTATAACTTTCCTCATCCAGGCTTAAGAGTTTACAATCCATTTTCCCTGCATTGCTTCCAAGGTGAAAACAAATGGTACAAAGTGTTTTTGAGAGTTCAATTACCCGTCACCCTCTTTATTTAAGAAAAATCATGTTTGAAAGGTGTAGTTGTTAAAATGATTTCTTTGTCATCTTGTGACAAATGTGAGGTTTATCTTCCCCTTGTTCTATGGAAGGGTTTAATTGATGACAAGAGGTTAATTGTGAACAAACCATGAAAACTGTTGATATTAATGTAACAATCAAATATGATTTGTCCATTAATACAAACACTTCAATTGAAACTGTTGATTAAAAACACACACCATGTTCAGTACTCTAGGCATTTGTACAAGGCATTTATAGGTTTCGTGTACCTAGAGAGCAGTGTTCGATGTGACTGTGTACCTACTTTGCAGTCTTTTATGAATACATTAGTCTTACTTCCACAATGAACTGTTAATCATTACAAAGTTCCTTTGTTAACAATCAAGCTCTCATAGTTACCCCCCCTCCCCCATGGATTCTTGGAAGATTTTCTCCTGTTCACTATTCCCTTTTTGATTGCAGCAGTATTGATATTCTTATTTAGATGTCAAATTAAGCCACATTTTAGTCCTCTGTCTGTTTCATGGGGCTGTTTACATATTAAAAGAAGCACTGAATTTATTTTCCAGGTCTTTAAGCTATGGTGCTATTGGAGTAATTGTTGGGCATGAGTTCACCCATGGATTTGATAATAATGGTGAGTAACTATCCCTGTTTCATTCTTTGATTAGAAAACAAAACAACTGTTACAATCCTTTACACACTTATGTAGGTGAAAGGCCAAGCTGTTTGAGTTTTAGTCCTAAAAATATATGTGTAGGATTATGATGTACATCATACTTCAGTTCCCTTCTCTCAGCCCTCTTCTAAGAAATATAAACCTTCAGGTTGTTAGGAACTGATTTATGCCAATGTTCCCAATTAGTTGCAATCTATTGTAAATTAACTAACCCATAATTTCACTTAACTTCAAAGTTATTTCCATATTGTTTGTCTCTGAGTTCACAGCAATGTAATTGCAATGTTAAAGCTACCAAGTGATTGTGGGCTGCCCACTGAATGACGTCTTTGGAGCAGATGTTGCTGAATTACAATCCCCCTCATTTCTGGCTAGTACCAATGTAAGCAGCTATCCAACAACTTCTAGAGAACCATTTGTTCTTCAATTCTGGTTTGGAGTGTGGGATGTCCTGGAATTCTGATTCATTAAACCTATGGTCAATTAAGTTTGGGTCTTTATTGCGTTCTTTCTTTCCTGTCTTTCACTTGTCTTATTTTTCATTCTGCCCCGTAATTCCTGCATCTTCTCAACATTTCCTAGGGCCATGCCACACAGTAATTTAACCCAGAATATGATTCACTAATGAGATTCTGAGGATTTATGTTTTTATTGGTTTTATTTATTTGTATGGTTTTCTATTCATGCTGAATGTTTTAACTGTATTTTGTGCTGTTGGGGGCATTGAATTGTGCCGACTGTAAACCGCCTTGAATTGCCTTTGGGCTGAGAAGGGCAGTATATTAATATGGCAAATAAATAAATAAATATCAAGGCAGAAAATCCTAGGTTATTTCTGCCTTGGAGATTCTGATATTCTCCAAAGTTCAGCACCAGAGGAAGGGAGATGGGTAGCTAATGAACCAGGGAAACAAGGAAACAAGGAGGAGGAATCGGGGGCCCTTCCACACAGCTGAATAAAATCCCACATTATCTGCTTTGAACTGGAATATGGATGTGGCAGTGTGGCAGTGTGGGCTCAGATAACCCATTTCAAAGCAGATATTGTGGTTCGGATGTGGCAGTGTGGGCTCAGATAACCCATTTCAAAGCAGATATTGTGGGATCACTTGGGTACACACTGAATCATCATCAAAACAGATTGTCAGAATTAGAATCACAAGGAATTTTTTTCTGACAATCCTGGCCATTCCCAAATCAAGTTAACAAATGGAAGTGCCCCTCATTGCTTCTGTCACAGTAATACTTAAAGTTGGCTGACTGAAAATATCTCACAATGGCATTATGTCACCCAACCTGAAATGTATAGGTGTTAATTCCTAGTCATTAAATAAATGGAATAAATTTGATTAAAATAAGAAAATTTATTTATTTATTTATTTATTTATTTATTTGGGGTTCTTTTACCCCGCCCTTCTCACCCCGAAGGGGACTCAGGGCGGCTTACAGAGGCAAGGCACACTTTGATGCCCGCATCATAAAAACAATCATACACAAAATTACATCAATTCACAGTTGACAACAATTCATGCATTATAACCATAAAATCATAAAATCAATTTCTGTGTGCATGTTTTAAGAATAGTGTCTCTTTTTAAGTAATTTTCATGGGGGTTTGTTTGTTTGTTTATTAGGATTGTAACCCACTATCTTTCCCAGAAATGGACACAAAAGAGGTTCATAACTATTTCATATAACTTTAGATTTGTTCTCTTGCAAACAAAAATACAGGCCGTAAATATGACAAAAATGGAAATTTGGATCCCTGGTGGTCTTTGGCCTCTGAAGAGAAATTTAAAGAGAAAACAAAATGCATGATCAATCAGTACAACAACTATTATTGGAAGAAAGCAGGCTTGAATGTAAGTCATGGAGGAATGGTGAGATTCTTTGTAGATCTCTCCCCACCCCACTTTCCCATATATTGAAATATTTTATGTAGAGCATATCAAAATGGTCTTAATTATTCCTATTCTTTCATTTTTCAGGTCAAAGGAAAAAGAACTTTGGCAGAAAACATTGCAGACAATGGAGGTTTGCGGGAGGCTTTTAGGGTAAGCAGCAATTTTGCTTCTACGCTCACAACCCCCACCCTATCCACAAACAAACTGAAGCACAGTGTTGTGATAACAAGAGCCGATGAGGTTTGCACCTCCTTAAATTTGCTCCCATTGTACCCTTCATTAGGCTTATAGGAAATGGATCAAAGAAAAGAGACAAGGAGAGGAGGAGGCCCTATTACCGGGCATTGACTTCACCCACAATCAGCTGTTCTTTCTGAGTTACGCTCACGTGAGTAATACTAAGCAGCATTTCAGAAATGATGTGAAAATTTAGCTGCTCACTTTATGGTGTACAGACAATTCTTCTTGATTACAAAAAGAAACTCTGAGATGCTATTGAGCCATGGATCTCGGGTGGAGGTGGGTTAGTTTTCCTCCCTTTTCCTTCTGCTGAAGATTTCCACATTCCCTTTGTGGATAAGCAAAGACCAAACAACCAGACATTGGGAAGAACTAAAACGAATCAAACTAAGGGAGAAATAGAGGATCTGCATGGACTTTCCCCAAGTCAGCTCCCTGTTGTGTATATGTGCATATGAAAGAAGGTGAATTCCTTATTGAAAGTGGCATAACATTCAGTTTGGTACTGTTTTAGTTCAGTTAACCCATTATTTTCTGGTTACTCCTCTGAACTTAAAGCAATACAGGCAGTCACTGAGTTACAAACATGCAACTTACAAATGACTCATACTTAAGAATGGGAGTGAGACAACAGGAAGTGAGAGAAATCTACCCCTTGGAAGGGAAATTCACCCCTGAAAGAGTTCTCAAGGAGGAAAGGGTTTCCATTGAAGTTTTATCACCCATCCTTGTTTGCACAACAAGCCAAAATTTTCAAAATCCTATCACAGGGGCAGAAAATGAGGTGAAATCTTTTGAACTGGGGCACAGACAGCAAACCAAACACCACAGGGATGTCAACCATTCCCTATGCTTTCCAAAGATACATAAATATAGATATATGTATGTATATGTATATCTGGAGTGCCTGTTTTGACTTACATAAAAATTCAACTTAAGAACAAAACCTACAGAACCGTGTTCATAATTTGGGGACTGCCTATACATCAGAGGGTCCATCTAAAATTTTCTTACCACAACTTAGTGATTTCAGCATATTTGCCGAAATCAAATAAGCTTTTTTTGGCTCTTGTACTTGCACTCAATTTATAAGGATTTTTTTATGCATTTGAGATTGTAGACACAACTTCAATTATCAATTTTCTTTTGTTTTAGGTAAGATGTAACTCCTTTAGACCAGAAGCAGCAAGAGAGCAAATCTACACTGGAGCTCATAGTCCTCCTCAATTTAGGTACTTTAAGGTGTTTTTTCTCTTCTCCCAGTTGTACTTTTATAAACTTACACTTAATAGAAAATGTAAAAGTAAAAGTAATTAACTCTTAAGTTGTTCCTGTCTTCGCATAAAAGATTGCAGTTCTTTGATTCTTCTCTTGTATTTCCATATAGTTCTCTGTTTTCTTTCTTTCCACACCATTTTGTACTTCAATCATGTCCATAGTTTTCTCAATCCACAGGACATACATTTGGCCTGTAGTGGGTACAAAGGAGGGACTACAGAGTGAGCAGGAGGTGGGAATGTTCTGATACATTCACAAACCCATTCAAGTATGCTTCCTGAATGGCATGCGGGTACAATATTTGTCAGGAAAGAGGGGAACATGTCGTAACTGTACCCTCTTCCCTTTTTGCATGTCTAGAAATAGGATACGTTTTTTTAGTTTAATTCTCTCTCTCTACGGGTAAAAAAGTACCTGTAGAGAATCTAATCTTCACCTTTTTTGACTAAATTCCCTTCCTGAAATTAATGTGTGCATTAGATTTGCCTAATATGTTAATCTTACTACTGAGCTAAAACAAAAGGGGAAGCTGCTTCAGGAGCTGCACCTGGAGCTCCTATTTGAGGGACTTCATCTCTAATTTAATTGCTGTGGCTGTATGTTATGCTATGAAATGCCAGGATTTGTAGTTTGGTAAGGCATCAGCATTCTTTGGCAGCTCCCATAGTCCAAAACTACAGTCCCCATGACCCCATTGCATTGAACCATAGCAGTTAAAGTGGATTCATTCTACTTTAACTCCAAGGTTTTCCTTTCTGTTGCTGGAAGTTTTGGTGTTCTATTTATTTATTTATTTATTTCATTTGTATACCGCTCTTCTCAGCCCTTAGGCGACTCAGAGCGGTTAACAGCAACAGTTTCAGTATACACAGTACAAAATCATTGGGCATTTAAAAGCAATAACCTAACAAATTAATTAAACAGTAAACATCAATACAACAATACATCAATATAACAAATCCGTCAGGTCTCATCAATAGAATCAGAATCCAGTCTGGTTATCCATTATTCCATGTTCCACTAATCAATCAATTACACTGCTTCTAGCACTTTCATTTTTAAGGAAGGCGTTGTAAGCATGCAGCCACTGTAATGCACGCCTTTTTTGGCCAAATTACAAAGAGTGCATTTTTTGCCACTGCACATTACATTTGCCAGCAAATACTTCTTTTGGTTTCAGGGTTTTGAAATTAAGGTGTGCATTAGATTTGATGGCGCATTAGACTCAAGTAAATTTGTGTATATATTTTACCATTTATTTGGTTTGATTTTGTAGCTTTTTGTATTAGATTTTATTCTAGTCCCCTTGAGAATTGCTGGATCTACATAAATATAGTAAGAAAAAAATAATTGGAATCTCTCTCTCTCTCTCTTTGTGTGTGTGTATGTGTGTGTGTGTGCATGCACATACATACACATAGGTTTGCCTGTGATACTTATTGGGGACAAATGCTTAAGAATTGAACTAAACACTTGCTGGTTGCCTTTCTCACTTGACTAACAGTTACACAGATCTTAGGTCAGCATCTTAGCAATGACATAGTCTGTTCCACTGTAATTGAAGGCAGCAAGCTATCTGGTCAGGGCAATCCTCGTGAAACATAAAGTTCTGTCTTACAGTACCCTACTTACTCACATCTCAGCCTGATGCCTGTTTTCTGGTCATTTAAAGAAAGGCTATGATGAAGCAATATTAGTGCCAGTGCACTACATAAGCAATGTATCACATGCACATTCCTAGTGCCTACTGGGTACATAGCAAGATAGCTGCATTTTTGCCTGCTCACTTACCCAGGAGCCATTCCCCTCTTTAATCTTTATAGTTGAGATGGAGAGTGAGACAGCAGCTAGACAGCTCTATATTGTAACAGCTGGTGTTTCTGTCAATATATAGGAGGGACTTCGCCATCCTCTATCAGCCATTGTCTTTCCTCTGCCTACAAGTAGGGCCAGCCCTGTGGACTGTAATCTTAGAAGTGTAATTGTACCACAGGATTGTATCATTTCATCCAGCAGAAATGTGAAAAGAATTCTCTTTTGTCCTTATGGTCTACTTGAAATCAACTTCTCAATTGTACACATTCTGCAGAATGAAGACAAAAAGGCTAGGGATATGGAACCTTTGGGGCTCTGAAAATGCAATTTCATTTAACAAGTTATTCTTCCAAAGGAAGAGTTTGGCAGTAAGGCAGCACAGTTCAATTTATGGTGCAAGGTTATTATTATTTTTTATAAATGGAGAACTCAAGCAAGAAACTGAAAAGCATAAGAGCTATCAGACCAAACAAGTTAAATGGGCAGCTCGTTAAAGCGCCCTCCAATCCACATACATTGTAAATTAATATGACACACAGAGAAATAATTATTATAAAGGTAATATGGTACAAAATGCCAACTCAAGGAAAAGGCAGTAATACTAAGATCACTATTTAATATGCTGCTGCAGACCATGAGTAAGGCAGAATATCAGAATGCATAAAAAGCTGGGATGAAAAATAATACAGGGGGGATTATAACACAATTATACCCATTAATCCTGTGCCCTCATCAAGACTATTATGCTCAGTCCTGATCACCTCATCTAGAATATGAGACTGCGGATCTGAAGTCAAGGGGTAGCAAGCATAATTAAGTAGAATGCATGAAGAGTAGTACCAAAGGTGATTGACAAGATTGTGTTATTTACTTTAGGAAAGAGATTAATGAAAGTGTATATAATAATGGCTGCTGAAGGGAAGACACTTCAGTTGTGTCTTATCTGGCTTACATAACCAAGGTATTCTAGATGATACAGGAGTTGGACTCCCTCCATGTTAAATCTGTTATTTTGTATCATATACAAATTATGGCAGATTACAAACTTCCTCTACGAGTACAGAATGAGTAGAAGTATTTGAAGTTAAATATTTATTTATTTATTTATTATTTAAACGTATATGCCGCCACTCCCCTGGGGCTCGGAGCGGCTTACAAGAATAGCTAAAATCTAACAAAATTAAAAAAATTTTTTAAACAATTTAAAAACAATAATATCAAACATTAAAAGCCTGTCGAAACAGGTATGTCTTACATGCCCTGCGGAAAGCAGACAGACAGAGGTGGCCATTTTACAAAGCAATCTGAAGCAAAGCGCCTCAAGCACTATTGTTCAGAAAGCTAAAGGTTTTTACATTTTAAATCATTTTTATTACATACTGAAAATGTACAACTTCTTTTAAGATGGTCCTTAACATAAGACGGTATTTTCAAGGATGTTAATCCTTGCTAGTGTCTCCCTTACTTCTCTACAACCCCTTCCCATCTACCATTTGATACAGCAGTACTGCAGTTCCCACAGAGGCAAAAAAATTGGGTAGAAATAAACTTCAGTTGGCCTTCCACATTGGCAGAGATTAGGAGTGAAAGAACCTTGCAAAAATAGAAGAAATGCAATAACTCGGGGGGGAGGGGTATCTCATGGCTTCCTTCTGGAGCCAGTGAGTGTGGAATTGCTTCTCCTCCACCTCTCCTGAAGCTGTATTGGGGGAGGGGGGAGGGGAGACAACCAATTCTGGAAGCCTAGGCTAGCAGAGTTATTTGGCTGGCAAAAGAGATCACTGCTGCTCTGGCTCCTCCTGCAACTTTGGGAGAAGAGGAAGAACAGTGAGCCCATTTGCCAACCAGCTCTTGAATCCTACACACTAGATGGCTGCCAAAGTTAGTTGGCAAAGAAGATCACTGTTCCACTACATTTCGCAATTCTGTAGAAGGGGCAGAATGGTAGTGAGTTCCTTTGCTGAAAAGCTCTAAAATCTTATGCACTGGTTGGCTGCTAGAGTTAGTTGGCAAAGTTGAAGTAGCACCAAAATTGAAGCAGCAGCAAATGGCTTTCCACCCACCTCCAGAAATCCTTGCAGTGCTGAGGTTCCAAAAGTGATTGGCAAATAAACCCTTTGGAGTGAACTACATTATCAGTTGGACTTTAATAGGTTTTGCTCTTCTTGCATAGACTTCCTTCATTCTGGGGGAAGATTTTGTGCAATATTATTTTGATTTTTCTGCCATAGGTAATCAAATGTTTTAAAATTTAAACAGTTTTACATTCAGAAATAAAGAGAACAGGATAGGGAAGGAATTTTTTGTGTTGGTAGATTTGAAGTAACATGGTCCTGGATGGTTAGTGAAAAGTTACACTAAGATAAACAACCCACAGCCCATGGGCACCTACTTTACCCCATAGCCCAAGGTGCAGGGGGAAGGGCTGTTGCTATTGACAGTGCTAGGACAGCAATCTAGATTGGAGACACGGAGGTGAAGAGAAAGGGAGAAAGCTGTCTTCATTGCTTAGCAGGGAAACTCCATTCCTCTCCCCCAGAAAAAGGAAAGGTTGTTTTGCTCTTGTTGGGTGCCTTCAAATAATTTCTAACTTATGATGACCCATCACAGGATGTTCTTGGCAATGTTTGTTCAGAGTGTGTTAGCCCAAGTTTCCCTTTTAGTATGAAATTGTGTTTTTTTGCCCAAGATCACCTGGTGGGTCTTCATGGTTGAGTGGAGATTTGAACCCTGGAATCATAGTTCAACATCCAAACCAACTTATCCTGCTGACTCCTAAACTGCTGTTTAAATTTATATAGCCCATCCTTAAATAAACTTTACATTAAATACACCACATACATTTAAATGTCTTGAGGAAGAATTCAACAATCCTGTTACATGTTCAGAAGTGAGTTCCATTCTACTTGACAATAAGACATGAACACATATGCTTGTTTAGAACAAAGAAAGGCCACAACTGTTTTTGAAAAAGAATCTGTGACACTTCATTATGTTTTATTAAAATATTTTCTCTCTCTCCTCCCACTCCTTCCAGAGTTATTGGTGCCATGAGTAACTTTGAGGAATTCCGAAAAGCTTTCAACTGTCCAGAGAATACTACAATGAACCGAGGCCCTGAGTCCTGCCGGCTTTGGTAGCGGTTCCTCTGAAATTCTGCACTGAAATCACTTCCTCGTTTTAACAGTTCCAAACTCTTCCTGAGCTACTGCTGCTTCAGAACAGTAGAAGCCAGCTGTGGACCAGATTCACATTTTTTGTGATGCATGTGCTCTGTCATCTGAGTAGACAACCCACAGAGACCTGCTATTATTTGCTTGTTCAAGATACAGAAATGAAGTGGAATGGAGGCTATATAAAAGAATATCTGCCATCAGAAAAATAGATGGATGTGTTCCTTTTGTATAGTGATTCTGACAAATACAAACTATGATTTAGCAGGCCGATCCCTATCTACAGTTAGTCTACAGTAAGGCCTGCTGTATTCAGTTTGTATATTTTAGAAAATATGAATGGAAAACTATAATGTTGTTTTGAAAATGGTTAATAGGAACATTATACAACATAGACATACAAGTCATCATAAACAAAAGAAACTTTGGAAGTTTGACTAAAGCAGTGCTTCACAGACTTTCATCCTCCAGAAGTCCCTGCTGGCACAGCCAATAGCCAGATATTCTGTAAGCTGAAGTCCTAAACACCTGGAGGGCCAAAGAACCACTGGACTTAGGAAACAGCAGGTGAGGGTGAGACTGTTTCATTTTCCCCTCTCAAGATATTTTTATGATCACATTTTCACTTTCCTAACAACTTATCTTTCATCTAGGGTGGAAAAGGTATAATACACTTCCTCTCTTATCCCTTATATGAATCCAAGCTCACACATATGTATTTGCATATATGCTATTTCCACATTCCTCTAATACCACTGCAGAGGCCACAGTTGCTACTATGAAGCAAAGGAAGCATATTTTCTTCTTTGCTTTTGTAATTTTAGTGCCTCCAACTTCAGCTGATATGCATCCCATCCATGAGGTGAACTGAGACCAAAGCAAAAGTGACTGGACTCTTTAGCAGTGAGACCTGCTGCAGTGAAAACAGAATGCAAACTTCTGTCTGAATGTACTGATTTTTCCTATATACACATGTGCAGGGGTTTGCTGTTATTTGTTGATTTTAGTTATAATATTCATAAATTTTGGAAAGTGGTGGGACATACATTAAATAACAAAATAAAATGTATGAAGGCTTCAGTACAAATGATCCTGACATAGGGTCTGAACTTCACTAAGTGAATTGTACTAATTTTCTATTGAAATATTGGCTAAATTAACTTGATTTTGATATGACTAATATTTAGGCCTAAATCTCATTCCTGTTCTTTGTTAGAGTAGATCCATAAAGCAAAGCTAGCGCTGATTTACTATTCAGCTATTAATTCAGTGAGTTTATTCCAGCTGGGATTTGCAGTTGAATTTACACAATTTCCCATACTTATGTATAATATAAGCGACAGACCTTCTGAAGAGCTAATATGTGGCACAAGCCATACCACATACCCAAACTATTGCTGAAGAACTGTGGAAACTAGTCCTCATTCAAGTTAAACCGAATGTAAAGGGTCAATCTTTTTGGATTTTCCTTTTTCCTATTCGTTTTAATTTTTTATGCTACATAATTGTTCAGTATAAAATAACATTTATTTAGAATTATTGTTGTACACATTTTTGGACATTATTTTTGAGATAGACAGTAATGCTGTTGAAGTAAAGAAATTTTTGTTATTGATATCAAATAATAAAAGCTTTATATAATTCCTTGATGCAGTATTATTCTCTTGTCTTCATTTGTGATAATCCACAATACACATTTTGAGATTTTCCATGTATTTATTCTATATATTATATGGTTTCTTTATGTAATCAGCTGCTTTGTATTCACACATGAAGATACGTCATGTATTTAGAATAAATAATTTTGCAAGGCTGCTTCAGATTTATTGAAATTGTTTTTGAGGCCTCCCTGAGTCCCCTTGTGGGAAGAAGGTCGGGATAGAAATGAATGAATGAACGAATGAATAAATAAATAAATAAATGATCGTGGCAGCATTGCTATGACTGCAAAGAGCCCTAAACTAACCAAGATGGGTGGTGGCGGATATTTCATTCTTAAGTGCTTCAGTCACCAGTGCTTAGCTCTGCTTTATTATTGCATTCAAAGACCCATTTGTAATTGTAAGACTGTATAAATGTAACTATGTTGGCCTGGCATTGAAAGTCTTGTGGATCACAGAAATGATGCGGCGGGCTGAATTCAGCCGGATTGTTCAGACACATGTGATCTATAATATGCCAATAAAACTTACTGGGGAGAAAATTCTTCTTCCTAGCCTGTGTAGGAGCTAGTATCTGGAGCACTGAATGCTAAAGGGAGAAAGAAAGATAAAGTCAAGAGAGAGAAAGAGGTGAGAGAAAGAGAGAGAAAGAGGTGTGCAGGAAGAAGTGAAGTCTGAGAATCTCTATAGTTAAGAAGGCAACAAAGTAGGCAGTAAAAACTGTCTATCTTAAGTTATGTCACTCTGTAGGCACATAGCTATTTGTACAACTCACATAGTCACACATTTTTAAAAACATGTTCAATCACATTTCACTAACAGAATTCAACTCAACTAATGGATCAGCTCTTTACACTGATTCCTACAGCTCCTCAGTCGGTGTATTGCTGACTTGAAGACTGCAGCCTGTGAGACCAATCACTTCTTTTAAAATGAATAGTTTAAATTCACTCTTTGACATTATATCATATAAATGTCTTCCCTGCAAATCACCTTTATGCTATACAACACATTTATTCTTCTGCATCACTAAACCATTGTATGATTTCATTCCATCATTGTTGCTCTGTGTACTCCTAGTTCAATTCCTGAGTTGCAGTTTATTGCATGAGCTTCACAATACTGTAAAGCAATGGTTCTCAACCTGTGGGTCCCCAGGTGTTTTGGCCTACAACTCCCAGAAATCCCAGCCCATTTACCAGCTGTTAGGATTTCTGGGAGTTGAAGGCCAAAACATCTGGGCACCCACAGGTTGAGAACCACTGCTTTAAAGTATATTTCATTTCTTTCTAGAAAGGATTGGTTACTGTAGGCTGACAAATGTATACATGCAAAAATCGGCCTGTGTTTCCTGACTTCAGAATTGAAATTTTGCACTTACTTAAATTGCTTTGGGAGACCATGGCTTATCTGCTCCAGAAAGAACCTACTTCACTAATCAACTAATTTAATCCAATTTAAAACATCAGATATTTGAGATTCCCCTGTTATTATTCAGACCAAAGCATGCGTCTTATTAAATATGCTATCAAAGCTTCCAGTTAAAAAGAAACGAGATAACAAACATTACACTAACCTGTGATCATAGAAACAGATGATTATATTATATTAGTTTCTACTAGCACAGCTGTGAGAAGTAGTTCCAAAAATAGACTCCAAATTTTAATCACATCATATATAGCATGGGATCTTTCAATATGGTTATACCGTACTTTCTTCTGAAGACTGTATCACTTACTTTGTTAGTAAAGTAGTTACAACAATAGTTGTGGTTGTATAACCTGCTTTATAGTTTCACATTGTAATGAGGTCCTTCCATCAATGTCCAAAGGCACCACCAAACAATGGCACCACAAATCAGCAATATCACCAGATATAGTGTAACAGTGATGTACAGATCTGACATTGAGGGGAAATTGGGCATACAGCGTGCATAAGAAAAAAAAAAAGCTCTTCACATGAGGCATTTTTGCCCTGTTTTGCTGCTTTTATGCGTGGCTTGGACGGGGCCTGCTGTGATGCACGGCAGGCCACACCCTCAATTCTCCGAAAGCGGGGTAGAAGCGCCAAAAGGTGCTTCCTCCACCGCTGTGGGGAGGAAAGTGTTGTTTGGGTAGCTTCATTGGAGCTACCCGCTTTTTCCTCCCCCTTTTGCCATGTGATGTCAGAAAGGGCGGCAGGGAAAGGGTGCCAATGTTATCCAATCCGCACCGTGTGGGGTGGAGTGAGGGCACGTGAGGCATCACAAGCTGCCATACATGCCTTCCCTTTAGCGCTGCAATGGCATGGCCATGTGAAAAGGTGGAAAGAGGTGGAAAGAGTTACTCACTTGTAACCCTCCAGTTTTGCAGTGCATTCAACCACTTGGGCCCAGTTCAGCTGACGTCTTAAACAAGAGTGAGCCAAGTGTGACATAGGGATTCCATTCAACACACCTCTCCATCCTTGACTACTGGGATGCTTATGGGCGTTTGAATTAACTAATATAGGGAAGGTCACAAATTTCCAAGTCCTGACCTACTCTCAATTTAAATTACCTTGACGTCAATGTATCATAATGATGTAGTTTCTTAGAAACTTGCTTCATGTCACTTTGGGATAAAAAAGGCCCTTACATTATGTCATAGTTGGGTCATGGGCAATCTACATCTTTATCTTTATTATTTCTAGAAATCAAAGGGATCTGTGCATCTGAGCTAGACAGGTTGTCAATACTAGGGGTCCATGGAAACTGGTCAGTCAAGCAGTCAAAAGGCCAGAAAACCTGAGCCACATTTATTTCTTTATCCAGGTACAGAAAAACCTTTGAAGCACATGGTGTCGTAAACTCAGGTGGGTAAAGAACTATCTTAATAATCTTTTGAAGTTTCCATCTAAAAATGACTAGTCAGAGAAAGCTTAAGTACTGCTGACTCAGGGAAAAGAAGATTGTATTTTAAGTAGGCAGTGCTGCCAACAGAATATTGACTTAGATAGGAGGACCAGATTACATTTAGATCAAAGGAATGGCAGCGAACAAGTTAAAATGAGTTCTAAATATATTCAGGAATAAAGTTTGAGAAATGCCCCAGTCCAGCCAATGAGCTCTGCATTGCAAGAAGCAGTCCTCTAGGGTTGCTAGAATGAAAACTTGAGACTGTTCTTGCACCTGAAATGGTTGTGTAGGACAGAAAATTCCAGGAAGCACTGCTTTTTATCTGTTTGCATGACATCCAGCTCCTGCTGAAATTCCCTCTTCTATACAACAATTATACAGATGCTGCCTCCAGTTTTCAATTCAACTACAGTGCTGATATACAGTATAGCTCCAGGTGTATCTTGTACTTCTAAGCACTGGAAAAATACATTGCATTGCCATATAATGGGTAGACATAAATGATTGCCTGTGATTAGGGAATTAATATGGTGTATCAGTTAGGAGTGTTGGCTGAAGATTTGCGAGATACAGGTTTGAGTTCCCACTATACCATGCAATTTATTGGGTGACTTCAGACTAGGTAGTCTCTGACCTACCCTAACTCCCTGGATTATTGTGAGGGCAAAGTTGTGAAACAAAAAATCATACATGCCATTTTGAGATCACCAGAGGAAACATGGGATATAAATGTTTACTACAACAGCAACAACACTTATAATACATAGAACACAATCCAATGCATATTTACTTGGTAAGGCATACTTTTCAGATATACTTATACAGAGTAAATGTTCAGACATAGTCATGTCTGGCTGGATCAGTAAGCAAAGGAATTATGTAGCACCTTTGAGGCTGAACAAAAGAAATTGGTACCATAGATGTTTGCAGATTTAAGTGTACTCTGTCAGATGCATTTAATGAAGTGACTAAGAGCAGGTTGTGTGAACAGCAATATCAATTCAAAACTTGTGGATATAATGACAAAGGAACAAGTACAGTTTTAACAATGGCCATTAGGAGATAAATGCAAGAAGAAATATGTTGCCTAAAGCTAAGGCGAGTAGACAACCATGTGAATGTTGGAGGAAATTATTGGAACATTGTGTGATGCAGGCTGGGAACCAGAAAAGAGATGTGATGAACTGAATAAGAGAAACCTCATGAGACCGGAGTGCTTATATGTGTTGTGTACTTAGAAATTATTGTCCCAATTTAAACCACTGTTGATTGACTAGAGTTTCCTTTTATTCTTTCCAATGTTTTGAAAGGTTTTTTTTAATTTAAAGACTGCTATTTTGAGATCCAAGGTGTAATATTCAGGAACATTGAATTGTTCTGCAATTGGCTATTGTAGATTCCTATTCCTGATTTATGTCCATTTATCCTTTGGTTTGGAGACTGGCCTTTTTACCCAGTGTAGACTGCTGAAGAACATTGCTGAGTCAGGATGGCATGTATCACCTTATGCCTATAATATTGTGAGAATGGAAAACAGAATGTTGGAGGGCAGGAAAAGAGATTTAAAGATGGGCTCAAAGCCAGCCTTAAAAACTCTGGCATAGACACTGAGAACTGGGAAGCCCTGGCCCTTGAGCACTCCAGCTGTCGGTCAGCTATGACCAGCAGTGTTGTAGAATTTGAAGAGGCAGGAATGGAGGGAGAAGGAGAGAAATGTGCCAAGAGAAAGGCACATCAAGCCCCGACCAAGACCACCTTCCACCTGGAAAACAATGTCTTCACTGCGGGAGAAGATGCAGATCAAGAATAGGGATCCACAGTCACCTATGGACCCACTGCCAATACACTGATCCTGGAAGACTGTCCTAGTCGGACAACGAAGGATTGCCTAAGTAAAAGTAATAATATTGTGGGGTGATGTGATTTGATCCTGTGATGCCATTTTCTGAGTATATGTGTGGCCAAAGTTAGCATCTGAGTTTGTGGCAAGGTCGTTCATCTATGGCCCCTCCTACACTGCTTTGATAATCTGGATTATATGGCAGTGTAGAAGGGGCCTATGTTGTGTGTCCTCCTGTAGATAAGTAGTAACTGTTGAGATTGGGAAGCTGTCAGTAGGCAAGGCCTGCCACCAAGAGCCCTTAAGAGAGCAGCAATATTATTCAGAATAGGTTGCCTCAATTGGAAGTTGTATGTGACTACAACTGGGGTTCTACCATTTCCTGTCTTTAATCTGCTCTATAATAGATTAACCCTTGGTCCAAGGCTCCATCTACACA